TACTTTGGTTCTGTTGAGGAACCAAAAGGTGTAGAATTTGGAGCATAGGTTATCGAAGTCTACATACTGTGATGGTTTCTTCCCTTGTGTTGGCTGATAATTATCGGAGTGGGAAAAATGAATGAGTAGATCTCTACTATTGTCTTCGGTAACCTAGAAATTCCATGTTAATTAGGTAGCCTAACCTCAGTCAGCCTTGAAACTCACCACCTCTGTCTTGCTCCATCTCGAGTAATATCCAACCAAAGCCTTGGGGGAGGTTAAGTTAACACATAACCAGCCGTTTGCATCCCTTGTATTTGGTATATCTGCTTTGGTTCTCCATAAATCTCATATGACTTGTCTGTTCGTTTAGCTTTTCTTTTTCCTGCTCCAGCTAATTCACCAGAATCGGCCAGCTTTGGCATCTCCATGTGGACTTGCAGTTTGCTGGTCATTTTCATGAGGTGCCCTAGTTCTTCATCGATGCAGAGTGTAGTGAGATATATAATTTCATTCGGTACCAAAGTGCTTTTGGAATAGAAATAAACTTAACTCAGTCACATTAGTTTTCATGTATCTGTTGAAGTATTTGATTTTGATCTGTAAGATGCAGCAAACACAAGGCATCGATGAATCATGTTATAGGCCTAGCTGATTGTATTTGTTCGTTAAGATGTTACTTTCCTTCTGGTTGTGGGGAGAGAAATTGGTCTTTAGGACGGATCTCAGAACCCAGTTTCCCTTTAAACAAAAGATAAGTGCTTGATATCGATCTAGCAACTTTATTACCTCTGTGTTGCTAAAATTGATCTTTCAACAACCATTTGTATGTACAGTGCTTGAAGTAATACCAAGTATGAACTCAGCAATTATCACACAAAAAAAATGGATATTGTATTTACAGTGCATAAAGACAAAAACAAGTAGAGACAAGAGAAGTAAATTAAATTAAACAACGAAAAAGACATTAGACAAATAAGACCAACCACAATAATATTTTTTTTGTTGGTAGAAAACTTATCTTTTATGATGAGCTGTTGTTTTCTTTGCCCCACTACTGAACTGTAAGGGGGATTGAATTGTCTCGAAATTATACGCTGAGACTAATTTATGATTGACGATAATATAAATTTATCGATCGGTCCAGTCCAATCACTGTCAAATAGTATAGTACTTGCGTTTGCAACTCAAACGAAACTGGGCCCATCTTTGCCCAAGTTACTAGACGCCGGAATCGATGCGTATCTCGTCGAGAAATTCCGAAGTACCAATTCCTCCTCCTCTTCTCCGTTATTCCCTCGTCCTTCATCGAAGTTCAGTGAGTAACTCAAAGGATCGTATTGGAATTTCGCATTCCTATTACCGCTTTTGTTCCGATGGAACCGACGGATGAAAGTCTTCCATCTAGGTCCGGCGACGATCTCCGACCATTCACGAAGCTTCTTCAAAGCGTTGATTCCTTTAGCCCATACAGATCCCTCCTTAACCGCACCGCTACGTAACCTATGCCACCAGTCAAACTTAACGTATTTTGTTAATTGATTCGGAGAACGGAAAGATGGGAAGCAGAAACAACGGCTACGTCGTTGAAATAGCGTTTCGGAAGTATCGATACTTGGCGTTTGTGGATATGCGTGAGGAAATTCAGAACCTGCCATTGAAATATGGGTTAATGCATTGGCTGGTGATTAGAGAAGGAGGAGGAAGAAAAAAAAATGGTAGCGCTTAATAATAGAAGTTTGGGTGATGAGTATATTTGGTGGGAAATGATGTAATCCATGTTTTTAAAGGGCCCTCTAGGTAGATAGATAGATAGATATGAAATATCTAATTTGATTCATTGGAATTTTTCATATATTATGTTTTGGATTCGATATTAACATCTTTTTGTATAAATATTTATTTTGTGTCTAATTATGAATATTATGAGATAGTAATATGGACTTAATTATGAAATTGTAACTTAAAAGTTACGCGTTAGTCATAGTGTTATTGTTAACTTAGAAAGCTTTTCATTATAATTCCTAATCAATTCAAATGAAGTATTATTGTTTAAATCTTAAATTTGTTGTTGAGCAACAATAGCATTATCAACAAAGATTGTAATGTACGGATAAATACTTTTTCATATTTAATTATAAAGTATTGATTTCACTATTTTTAAATACAATTTATGTTTGTTAAAAATGTTTTACTCTAAAGCTGAATATTATCAATAATTTACTTTAATTAATATTAGATCAAATAAAACAAAACGAAAGCGGTGGATTAAAGTTTTTAACTTACTAGAGCTGAAAAATTATGACCAAAAGGCCGAAAAATATGGGCAAAGACCAAAATTTATTCTGTAGGTAATATATAGGAACCTCTGCAGCTTACCATTACCTGGCCTGTTCTTCTGCCCATTTCAACGAACGATCAAATTTTTTTTTGCTTTGTAGAGATTGTTTCACTGTATATGCACAGGTATTGCGGCGGAATTCTGAAAATAAACAGAGATGCCAGGGCCGGGACCGCATATGATGTATACATTGGGTTCAGGATTAGGATTGATGAGTGTATCTAATGGCCGGTTTAGTCCTCATCACTGCGTTACCTATTCCATCAACGCTTTCTTTGGACCGGACATTGGATCTTTCTCTGAGTGGCTTACATCAACCCTTGGGTTAGGAAGTGCTTTGGGTTATGCAATTGAGCCCTGGATCCATGACCCCTTTTATCATATACTTATTCTTGGTATCCCCATGTCCATGCTTTACAGCGCTCTCTCCAAATTTCTCCTAAAGAAGGGATTGCTCGATTCCATTTCAGGGGTTAGCCTCCTTAGCTTTTCTTGATAGAATTTTGTGTGGGGGAATTGATGGAATTGTGAATTTTGAGAAAGCTACTGTTTTTAGGACATGGGTGATTCTGTTTCGTTTAATTTCGTAGCTGAATTGTGTTTTTTAGTCTTGATTCCGTTCGTTTCTGGGGTCAGCCCCTAATCTGCCAACTTCTCTATATGTTTGTTTTACTAACGATTTCGTCTGTGTAAATTGTTTGCGTTGTGAATTTTGATTGCTATTGGGGTGTACCCTTGGAGAAAAACTACTGTTTCTAGGAGGACATGGCTAACTCTGTTTTGTTCATTTTTGTTGTTCCCCTTCCTTTGCTGATTCTGTTCCGTTTCTGGGGTTAGCCCCTAATCTCCCAGCTTCTCTATATGTTTGTTTTACTAACAAATTTGGTTCAATTTTGTGTGAGGGAATTGATTGAATAGTGAATTTTGATTGTATTGGCATGTCCCCTTTGAGAAAAGCTACTGGCTTTAGGAGGACATGGCTGACTCTGTTTCGTTCGTTTTTGCTGTTCCGTTTCGTACCTGATTGTGTTTTACTATGCAAACAGGTTCCGCTTACAAGGAAACAGTGTCTTTTCCTGGTGGCTGCTGGCTCTTTGTCACATTTTTTCTTGGACCATTTGTTTGAGGTAATGTCTGATCATATATGGAGTCATGTTTCTTGTGAGCTACATTTTGCTCTGGCCTTCTTATGAAATCTCTGTGCAATTTCTGAGAAAATGGTAGCCATTAGTGTTATTGAATGGCAGTGTAGTATACTAGTATAGAACTGCAAACAAGGTTTAGCACCAGTAGCATCCTTAATGTGCCTGCGAAAATTTTTCACTGATCCTCGTTTATTGCGAAAGCTATCAAAGCCATGCTAGTTCCATAGAGAATTTTTTTTTCTTTTTTTTTTCTTCTTTTTGTTTGATCAGTCGAATTTACTGAACCTGATGGCCCAAGGAGATTGTGAAGAGGCCTGACAATAGTATATTTGTTGATCATTGAATAGTTTGCTACACACAAGAATTTGTATGATATTTGTGCAAATGCTTGATAGCATGTCTTTATTCTTTATACTGGCTTGAATTTGGTTCTTGAACTGGTTAATAATTTTGTTGGTCGAGGAGAAGCTTTGTAAGTCCACATTGTATAAATACTCTTTTGTTATTAAGAAAAAAGAGTAGACCTATCAGTCTCTAGTTCTAACAAATTGCGTCTCTGAAGAGAATTTTGCCGTAGCAAAGATAGTTTTGGAGATGTAGTTATATAAGTATCTTCCCTTGTCAAAAATATACTTTGAGATTAATCAGCTTTTCAAAATTAGCTTCTACAAGTTAATTACTTTGGTTATGGAGAATTGGAGGAACATAAATGAGTCACATCTGTAAACTTTCAGGCATAGAATGAGTTTAACAGGGACCATGAAGGGGTTGCTTCCCTGTCCACCAGCACGAAGGAAACTTACACAATTATACATTAAGAAATTAAATAAGTTCCAATTATCTTTCGAAGACGCATCCCTTTCTTGTAAGAGAGAAGGTTTTAGTGTGTCCTGTCAAGGCAGTAGGTTAATCCTTGAGTAAAGTTATTGAAAAAACTCCAAAGGCCTGAAGAAGGAAGGTGGCAATTAGACGTTGTTTGTAGTATAGTAGACAAAGGAGGAGACTTTATTACTATTAGACGTTGTTTGTAGTTCATATGCCTTAATCCTTATCCCTTTAATCTCTCAAGAAATGTCTATGTTGATCTCAGAATCACCTGGTTTTACTAAGACAAGATTGGAGACCACATATCAAATGCTTTTATCTTTATAAGTCATAAATGCAGAATAAAAAATTTACTTAACAACAAAATGCATCTTTTCTTTGAGATCAGCGATAGTCCTTTCTATAAGTTCCTTGTTCCTCTTGTAACAGGAAAATGGGAAGTCTACTATGTACACTTGGATATTGAGCACAGGTTGGTGGGAAGGGCGCGCACCAATCAATCTCGATGCTGTTGTTGTGGTTTGCATTCTATGTAGCTGCTTGATTGCTGACTTTATATACATAAACAGGTGTTTGCTGATGGATTATTCAATGAGATTTTCAGCTGCTTTCTCTGTCGTTAACATGTCTTATTTTTTGTCGTAATCCTCTTGCAGAGTGAAGCCGCTCAAACTGCTCAAACTACGAGTTATCAACTCTGTCAAACTGATCTTGGTAATTGCTTCCTTATACTGTTTATGGTGTGCAACCCAAATATACTTGGTTCAACCTCGTCGGCCAGCAGTTGGTGAAGAGGCTGATCTTGGAGTTCTTGTGTTTATGACAATATATTTTTTCCTCCCTCATTGGCTATGCATTCAGTCCATGAACTCAAGAGATCCCCAAGATCTTTTGCCCTTATGACTACATGAAATGCATAGTGACTAGTGACATAAAAAATCTCAAGGCTATAATTGATTGAACCCAAGTCCAGCAACATTTTGTAGAGGAGCTGAACTAGTCAATTTTCGCCGTTCCATTGCAGCATATGTTGCTCTTTAAGGTTCCTGGTATCATCTAGGCATAGATTTACCTTGCTTTCCTGGCTCCACAAAGTGTAGAGAGAGTGATTTTGGAGCTGCATCCTTTCTTCCTGGGGATGATAAGTTAACTGTATGGTATCGAAAAAACGTTGACGTTATAAGGTTTTGTTGATAAAAAATAACTTATGCTAGCTCATATTTATACCTTCATTGTGCATTGAAATAAACAAACTGGAGATGTTACATAAATTAGCTCCTCTTGGTGTGTTCATTTGTTTTTTTGTTTCTATGTCCGGAACCCATATTGGAGCTCCGACTAAATCTGGATCGCGCACCGCAGGGCCCATTGCGCTCCCAACATGATTTTCTCCATACCTAGAGCTCGAACCTGAGACATCTGATTAATGGTGAAACACTCCCACCGATGTTGATCTGTTCATGTGATTGTGTAATTGCAACTCTCTACATTTTTGCTCTTCTTTAGGTATCATCAATTATGGGTTGATAGAAAATGAGATTAGAATGAAAATGAAATTGTAATAGTTAACCCCTTGGGGTGTTACCTGCGTGAACACATGATATTTTGTGTATCGAGAACGGTAATAGTTAGAATAAGTAAAGTACTTTAAAATCTTTAAAGTTAATTACAAAGTAGCTTTAAGTTTTTCTTTTTTAATTAATGAACAATGTGAAGAAGACATAAGTTAATATGATCATGCAATTATTACTGTAGTGGTAATTCTATCATTTTGACTTCGACAAAATTTACGTGACCACATTCGTTTATAAAAATTTGAACCTTATCATTATCAGTATAATAAATAATATAAAATTTTCTTTTAATAATATTAAAAGTACTTTACAAGATCGTATATTATATGTTTTGTCATACACGTGCTGAAAAAGTTAATTAATTTAAATATAGATCATTAATAATAATCAAATGCTAAACCTCATGTTAAACTTACCTATCATGTATTTGATTAGTGGCAAAATGCAGCCATTTGACCAATGTTTAACTGAGCCTGATAAAATTTAAATTTGGGAATTCATAATTTTAATTTCAAATGTGTAATGAGTTCATTAAGTACATACTATTTTGTATAGGTAGACATAGTGAATTAGCAATTGGACAATTTATTAAACGATATATGTGTAATGAGTACCTCTTCTAAAGTCATACTGCATATTTCTTGTCGTTTGGTAAATGGTCGGAATGAATTCACTCCCATCGATCACATTTGTCACGACTGATGTCTCAATCGGTCAACTATAGAAAATTGACCAATAGTTCTTCTTTCTTTCGATAAAGGTTAACAGTCCTATTCAAACGTTGGTGCATAAGTGCAGACTAGCTCAGTGTATATTACCTTTCCTATAGTTTTGTAATTTAGGAATTTCTGATTTTAGAAAGTAACTTCCATGGATAGGGTAAGTGCTTGTTATATGAGAAAAAGTTGTTATGTGTTTATTTTCTTTAGACAAATAATTGTCCGCTCAAAATACAAAGTAGAATCGAAAGAAATTAAATTTATGATTTCTATTATATAAATATAATAATTGAGATAATAGAGAAGCAAAAATAACAAAACGAAAAGCACCAAAGAAAAAATTCAGATCGGTTTAAATAGTTGCCCCCATTCCCAAGAAAACCTCGTGAGTTTAAATATAAAGTTTCCTTCCAGAGCCCAGAAAAATTAGCCATCCGTTAATCGTCCATTTTTGCAGCAGACTGTAAGTTCGATTATTCATTTTTCTCTTTGATTTTCAATTTTTACTTTGAAGGATATGCATTTCTTTTCTGTTTTCACTTGATAGCAGCTTAGCATCTGGATTTTCCTTTACTTTTTTCCGATCTCAAAGTTATTTGTTGATGGTGTAAATTTGTCCTCTATGTTAGTAAATCATAATGGCAACCGAACAACCAAAACCAGCAACTGTAGATGTGAAAATGGATCTGTTTGAGGACGATGACGAATTTGAAGAGTTTGACATTGATCAAGGTGAGTTAACATTCATTAATTTTAGTTTTTATTTTTATTTTTCTCGTGATGATTATCTTTGCCTTGGAATTTGAGATTTAGCATCGTTTTTTGTTTTTTTTGAGTGTTAATGGAATCATTATACTTTTATATATAAGGTTTATCTAACTGTGCAAACTCTGCCTATGTGAGTTTTGCGAATAATAGTTGATAGTAAATCCGTTTTGAGGAGGATTGATTCAGTAAGTTGGCATCGAACTTTGAAGTAGTCAAACTATGATGAGTACTTTGAATATTGAGTAGAGCTGATTAGATGAAGAGAATTCATTTGACTAAACTCTTAACTAGTTTGAAATCGACTATTTTTGGTTGATAACTGTGCAAATTCTGTTTGTTTGTGATAAAGTCCTGTTCAAAAGGAGTTTTGCATGAATGCTGTGTTGCACCTCTGGTTGCAATACTTTGAATTTCGGCATTGCTGATTCTAAAAATTAAGAGATTCTTGCTAAATGAAATGAATAAACAACATACCTGTTATACCGTGTCACTTCAGAAGAATTTTGAGTTTGTTTTGTGGGTAGTTTGTTCCTTTTGTTTGCTTGCAAAGTGATTTTGTTCCTGTTGGTCTTGAGCGTCATTGTTTAGTTGATTCAAGCTGCCTCACAGCCGAAAATTGGGACAACACCCAGTCATATCAAATTAATAGGAAATTTGCTTGTTTTATTTCTCTTGACACTATTAAGGGGTGGAGGTGAGTAAGTAGTTGTGTGTATTGCCTAGTTATTTAATATGGAGATGAATGGTGCACCAATAATAGCCGTCTGTTCTTGTTTAGTTTTCTAATAGGGCTCTTGGAGATGGTAAGTTTATTTTCAAACCTCTCAGTTCAAGATGCACAGGAAGACCAAACTCTTGGAGATTGACAATTTTGCAATTAATAGTTCACTCATGCTTATACATATCTTAACTGCTTGATCTCCCCATCTTCAGTCATGCAAGCACTAGTCCCTAGGGCTTCGGTCTAGTGGTAAAAGTGCAACATGTGATATGTGAGTTAGGAGAACAGCATGGTTTTGAACCCAGTACTTGGTGCTAAGTTAGAAAGGGTAAAGGGGTGGTCCCATTAGCCATCAAGGTTTTATTGTGCACCACTGCCCTCCAGAGATTTCTTAGTTATTAAAAAAACTTCAGTCATGCAAGCACTAGATAGGTATTCCTCTAACTTATCAAATGTTAATCCATTGTGTCTGATTTTGGTACTTGGTTCCAAGTGAAGTTGGTACTGATTTTTTGCATCTATCTTCTCAATTTGGAGAAGTGTTAATCATCGTAGTTTGAGACTCTATGACCGCTTTGCCTTTCTGATTAATTTGTCACTTTGCCTCCTCGTTAACATGTGCTGTTTTCAGAGTGGGAGTCGAAAAAGGAAGGGAAAGAAGCTACCCAGCAGTGGGAAGATGATTGGGATGATGATGATGTCAATGATGATTTCTCTTTACAACTGAAAAGGGAACTGGAAAGCAACACGGAGAAGAAATAACCAAACCTTCACAGGATTGTTTCTCTTTCTCAAGATTTAACCACAGATATCTGTTTGCGTTCATATATTTCCCATTATGTAGCACTCTTTGTTTCACCAAACGCGATGAACGTCAGTTTTCTTAATCTGTAATGCAGTTCTCTATGAAGATAGTTTTAAGCCGAAAAAATGCTTAAGCTTGGTCTTATGTTTTACCATGCATGTGCAATTGTTTTTGGTCTGAGTGTGAAATGTATATCACAAATAGTTGAGAATTTATCATCCACGTATAATATAGTTTAACATTTCAAAATGTTTTTTAAAAAAAAAATTATGATGAAATTGGTTGTAAATTAATTTAGTGGATGAAGATGATCGAAAAAAGAGGCATGTCAGTTAAGAGGAGAGGGTAAGCGGCAAGTAATAAGGATCAACCATTCATTAACTAACCTCTTAACAAAGGCCTATAAAAGTAGAATTAGCTGAAACATTTTGTAAATATTGTTGCTGTTTGGATGCGTGGCTGCCTAAAACCAAAAAAAAACAATAAAACAATAACAGCCTCCATGCAAATCGCAATTTTCAATAATTAATAATACTTGCCATCTCCTAGCAATAAAATTCGTAATTCTAAAGTTAAAAAAATTTAAAGATGGCAGATCCAGACACCACTAGGACGGTTGTAGGAATCATTGGTAATGTCATATCTTTCTTCCTCTTCTTGTCCCCAGGGTAAGTTTCATCTCTAATCTCTTCTTCGCGATCGATTAATTTAATTCTCTCCTTACTCAAGGCTCAAAAAAATAAAAAATTATCGCTATTTATGATGTTTCGCAGGCCAACATTTGTCCAGATTTTGAAAGCAAAGTCAGTGATGGAATTCAAGCCAGATCCTTATATAGCAACAGTTTTGAATTGTGCAGTTTGGGTGTTTTATGGCATGCCATTTGTTCACCCTGACAGTCTTCTTGTCATCACCATTAACGGATTTGGTCTTGCTATTGAGTTACTCTACGTCTCAATCTTCTTCATCTACTCCGATTGGTCTAAGCGAGTATGTACATTACTGTCTATGTAAAAATTACTTCTTTTTTTTCTTCTAAACATATAGAATTTAACACATTGCTACAACGTACCTGCCTGCAGCAAAAGATCATAATTGCTTTGGTTATTGAAGCAATCTTCATGGCAATCCTCATCTTTGTTACATTAACATTCCTCCATGGAACCAAGGATAGATCAATGCTTATCGGGATTGTGGCTATAGTCTTCAATATCATCATGTACACCTCACCACTGACCGTCATGGTAAGTTACATTTATCAATTCAGTCAGATCTTTCTATAACAACGTCAAAAGCAACCCCCACATGCACTAATATAATCTCTTTCGTATTGAGCAGAAGAAGGTGATCACCACCAAGAGTGTAAAATACATGCCATTTTACTTGTCACTAGCAAACTTTGCTAATGGCATTGTTTGGGCATGCTATGCACTCCTCAAATTTGATCCTTATATCCTGGTACGTGGTGTAGTTTATTACTCGTTCCGTCCTAATTTATGTGAAAATGTTAGTCACTAACAATGTCTTTTTTTGTGTGTGTGTGTGTGTGATTATAATAAAACAGATCCCCAATGGATTGGGTTCATTGTCTGGATTAGTGCAGTTGATCCTCTTTGCAGCATTTTACCGCACAACAAATTGGGATGAGGATGAGAAAGAAGTTGAACTAAGTACTTCCAAATCCAACAAGTCAGATGTCTGATAAACAAAAATTGCAGAGATGAAACTCCCACACTGTTTTCCAAGTGTGTGTATACACATATGGTGTGATAAAGAGAGAAAAAGATAAAAGTCTACCATTTTAACAGTATACTCTTGATGTATTTACCCTGCATTTTCACTTTATTTCTTTAAAGCAAATCAGTTAATATATGTATGAGATCTCCAATTGTAGACATCTTTTTCATATGGCAAGAGTTGATCATCTCACCTGACTTCTATATCTCGTTATCTATAAATTTCCTTTCTTATCGTTGTTAAGTGAACATATACGTAATTGAGTTGGTGTACTAGTAAGGAAGAGTTGTGTACTGAGCTTATTATCGAATGTCATTCCAAATAGAAGTAAAAGAACCAACAGATATAAGATGGACTAATATTTGGTTGCATCACTTGAAATGTTACAAGAAGCTGCAAATTCCCTCATTTTGTTTTGACTATTATCCTTGTGTAAATCATACATAGGAGAAGGTGGAAGTTCATTTGAAATCCAAACCACCAATGTCAAATATTGGGGAAGATTATATATTTAAAAGAAGTAAAATCAAACAACTACAAGTGAAATGAAGAAAATGAAAAGAAAGGTATAAGCTTTACACCATCTAATTGAGAAATGCAGCGCAATTTGCCAGCCAATATCCACAATCACCAGGAGAATCTGGTACTGTATATAAGTTCAGGACTCTGAAATATTTGGTAGTTGAGATAGAATTAACCTACTTCTTTATATGTAAAGCTGCACGGATCCTGAGTGTTCAAGGTCCACGATGCTTCCGGAAACAGAAACAGCCCTGTTGTTGATCAACAGGGATCATTCCCCCGCCTTTGGATGTGTCAATAGCCTCTATCATGGATACTACCTCATCCATCTCAGGTCGCTTATCAGGATTAGCGTCCCAGCATCGTTTCATCACATTAGCTAGGGAACTTGGGCAACATCTTGGTATTTCTGGCCTCAAATTCTGTGTGACAGAGCATAAACCACATTAAACGAAGGGAGCTCGAGAAAGTGCTAAACTAAGAGACTTTACCTGGCGAACCACGGCTGAAGTCACTTCTGAGAAACTGAGATCAGGATATGGCATGTCACAGCAGTATATCTCCCACAAACATATGCCAAAACTATACACATCGCATTTCCTGTTGTAGGGGTTGCCATTGAGAACCTGCAGTTTAAGCACACATATCAACAATGCTCAACGTCATATACAGCAATGTGTTATTCTTGGATCACATTTTTATTGATTGACTTGATTTTGGGGACTATAGCCCTTAATCCTTACCATTCCTCTTCCGGAGTTATAAAGGAAGATTAGGCAAAAACAAAAAAGATGTTGTAACAAATATTCAACATAGAGGTTTAACATTATCAAATTTCATTTTATAGTGGATCAATAGGCTTAAGTGCATTGCAGGTACACTGAGATAGCGAGAAAATAGGTCTATATGCGCTAGAAGTGATTAGAGTATCAACTAATGGACAGTGAACAAACAAACAGACATAAATTGAAGTTATCTGTAAGAAAGGTAAAAATCCTACTCCAGTTAAAATATGTACCTCAGGAGCCATATAGCCAAGGGTTCCTGTCTCCCCCGTCATGTCATTAGGATTAGAGGCCTCAACTCGTGCAACCCCAAAGTCTGCAATCTTTACAGTACGTGTCTTGTCCAACAGCATATTCTCTGTCTTGACATCTCTGTGCACAATCTTCTGAGTATGAAGGTAACTTAACCTACAAAGTTCAATTGATTGGCCTGGTTGAGATGAATGACAGATCGTAGATAAAGACCTGGGCGTTAGAAAGGAAGAAAAGAAACAAGGTACAAGTTACCCTCTGGCCAAATCAAGTGCAATCTGCACTACAACTTTAAATGCTAGCTTCTTTCTTCTGTTCTTGATAAGGTAAGATTTTAAGGCACCGCCCGGAAGATATTCCACAACAACACAACATATATTACTAGGCATGCCAATATGACCATTTTCTGTTTGTATATTTAGACCAGAAGCTCCCATGGTCGCTCCGATGAACTATATCACATGAAAGAGATGATTTTATTATGTAATATAAACAGTTTATTTATAAGCTATGATTACATCTAAGCAACAATCACTCAATCAGTGCGTATGCAGTCTCTTGTAGAAATTGTGTTCATGCAAATGATCGACATTTGAATGAGATGAGAACCTGGACAGAATAAAGTTCTATATTTCTCATAGTTTTAATCATGTTCAATATAAGCTACTAAAAAGTACTACTAAAAAGTAACACATCGAATCATCCGAACTTAATGAATAAAGATTAATAGCAGCCCCTAAAGTAGAAAAAATGTAAACTTCGACTTGGAATTCTTTCTTACCAATAATGGCATGAGAAAGATTCACATAACTCTTGGCGTCACTGAAGGAGCACGCTTTTTCCTTTACTTACATAAGTTTCTGCTACATCAATGAATGAATTATCTGAGGTAAATCACATTACTACTAGAGCCTTGGCAATGGTGTTTTAAGAATAAAGAACTCTGCACTCCCTGTGCAATGCGACAGCTCAAATGCAGCGAATTTTCAGAGTTAGCAAATTTAATAAGAACTCAAATTTATTACGATTTAAGAAAGAATGACAGAATTGAAACATCGCGATAACATTGTAAGAGTGATTGTTAAGGCTAAACTATAATCTTCCATTCAAGCTGACCTTCAATAATACGTAATTCAAGAATTGTAATGTTTTTGTTATCGTTTCCTGAATTTATTTGGTGGCATCTTTTCGTACAACAGTTACTTTACCGATGTGAAGTTTCTTTCTCCCATCACCCGCTGATGGTTGAAAGAGGTGGTTTATACAATTGAACAGGATATTAGAATCCCCTGAGTTTTATGGTCGAGTGCTTGGACCATGCAAAAAGAAATCAAGATGCACACATAGGGACGTTCACGACTCAAGTACATAAATAAAAATGACTTACATAAAAGTTTTAAGGATTACAGCACAAAATTAGACATATACTCCAGGCATATTTCTATTAAGTTTAAACAACAAGCAGCAACATCCAACAAGCTCTAAACCCTTCCTACACATTATGAGTTTTAGAGGCTTAACGTCACCTTGGTTACATTAGGATGGTCAAGTTTATGCCACACTGAAACTTCTTGAGTAAAAGCTGCCCTTAGTGATGCTATTTCAGCTTCTGTTCTGTGTCCCTCTTCCCCCCAGTCCAGAAGTTTAACTGAGTGTCACAAAATAACTCACGTGTTAACTAAAAGTTACATTTTTCCTTTTAACTGGTGCCAAATTTTGCAAATTGAACCAGGAAAAAGGGCAAAAAGAAAAAAGAGCAAGTATGGACAATGTTAATTCCCTGTAGCAATGACTATGACAATGACAATGACAATGACAATAAAACTAACACTGCAATAAAGAGGGAACAGGAAAATGAGATCCAGAATTGTAATAGATGTCATGCATTACTTTAATACTTAAATGAGTAACAGATTGGTTCACATGAAAGTTCAGATATACAGCAACAAATGCAAGACACAGCCAAGTTAATGCCGTCATCTGCAACTTGCAAGAAATTCAACACAAACCCGTGCCTCTATTCACGGATTGCATAAGAAAAAGCTCAAAATGACTAACCAGTATTCAGCAAAATCCAAACCCCTCCACCCCCAAACACCAATCAAGAAAAAGGATTAAAAAAATTAACAACAAGAACAACCCCAGAAAGAAAAAAAAAGTATCATTATTCCAGCAGCTTAGAGGAACCCCACGAGCTTAAAACTGAACCCCACAGGATTAATATGGACCTTAACACAAAATTCCACCACACAAGTAAAAAAAATCAAATCTTTAGTATTTGCAAGAACCATTTTTTACCATTTTGTCATATTAAAGCTAAATACAAGAAATTGTATGGTTTAAAAGATTATTTTGAAAATCAAGAACTGACCAGCAACATCTTGACCATCATAAACGCCACGGTGGACAGTACCAAAGGTTCCACGAGCAAGAACAGTTTTGATGATGAGCTTTGAAGGGTCAATTTCCCACTCATATCTTTGCCTAGGAACAGATGAGCTAAACAGAGAGAGGTTGGGGTTGGGGTTGGGGGTGGTGGGGTGGTTGGCCACTGTAGCAATAGAAATGTTGTAGTTAATGGAAGAATCATCTTGTGGTTTCTTCTTATTCTTATCCTTGTCCATAGTTCTTGCTCTGATAAGATGCCTTTCAAGTTGTTCATCCAAGCTCTTCAAATCAATCTGATCTGCTCTCACAAACCCATCACTGCCCTTCTCCATTTTTGCTTCTGCAAAGTTGTAAAGATTGGATTTTTAGTAGTTTCACAGTAGAAGAATTGAAAAAGAAGAAGAACAAGGAGGGCTTGTTGGGGGTATGTAGTGTAAAGAGAGAAGAGTAGAGTTTGTGGTGTAATATGTTTGTATGGAAGAAGGGGGAAGAGAAGAGAGCATTATGAGCAGAGCAATGTCATGTGGGCACATGGAATTGCCTCAAGACAATGTGTGCTCTTTGACCCACCAATCTCCTAAATCTTTCTTAATTAGATGTCTCGATTTCCGATTTCCAATATAGCACCACACTAAATAAGTTTTATTCTCCCTATCTGAAATTATTGTCATGTTATTTTTATCAAAAGTTAATTTGAATAATTCTTAAAGGTCACACTAATTCGATATTTTAAATAAAAATATTAGATATTCTTAAACTATATAAAAAGTACTATAAATTATAAATTTTTACATATTAATATTATAAAAAAAAATACATCTCAAAATATTAGTCAAAATTTTTATATTTTAACTCTAAAAATAGAAACCATAACAAACAATACTGGACGGAGGAAGTATTCTAATGAATTTAAATTAATATAAATATAGAATATCACACTAAAAAGAAAAGTAGATTTTACATAAATTTTAAAAGTTAATTGCATCTTATCATTCATGCTTAAATAAAAGATCTCGGGTTTAAGCCTTCTTGGGTATGAAGTTTTTGTTAGGGAGTGTTTTACTCCCAATGTGGGGCTTTTCGGTTCGAATTTAGTCGGACTTCAATGTGGGTACCGAACATCGAATGGAAAACCAAAAAAATTATTTATTCCTGCTCTTTTTCATACTACAAAATCTCGTAAATTTGGTAGAATCTGGATACTTTCCGAAACGTTCTTATACATGAGTCTCGATTTTGAATACATCCCTCAATGTTATGATACACTGCGTCTCGATTTCGATATATCACTTTATGTCTTGATACGTTATGTATGTCTCGAAACATTGCGTAAAGTGATTTATCCAAATAATACATTATGTAAACTAATGTCTTGATATAACACATGTGCCCCGATATATCATGTAAACTAATGTATCCGATTAATATATCACATAAAATAAGAATTTCGTAATTTTTAAAATAATAGAAAATTTTAGAGAATATAATAAAACATATTTAAGTAATCTTTCCGATAAAAAGTCTAATCTTCTTTTATGTGTCATCAATATAAATAAATAACTCATACAATTTCAAATCTTATAAATAAGATAATGCAATTATCCCCCATATGTAAAGATGATATAACAATATGAAAAAAATAGTACTGCAATATATATAAAAAATAAAATTATATTATTAATTCGGTTTAACAAATTTTAGTAGATTATTATTTTTATTTGAATTTCAATTTGCTATATGAAAAATCACATGTTGTCAAACGTTTAATATAAGAGTGAAAGATAATTTATTTTTATGAATGCATGAAACTTAGGACACGTAATATTTTGTTAATAGACACAAATTATCAGTACAATTAAAAACAAACCTTATTTAAATATAGATTCAACTTTTTTATAAATAAAATATGTATATCAAATATTTCTAACTTATAAATATATACTCTTAATTCGAGTTGAATAGGTAATATTTTTAATTATCTTCTTTTGTTATGAACTCGTTTAGTTTTTAACAAAATCATAAGTCCTCCGTGTTTTAGATTATTTTTTTTAAGGAAAAAACAAAACAAAATTGATTAGTTAAAACCTCGCAATTTAATTATAATGATGAAAGCAATTTTTTAATTGAAATGTCAGTGTTGACCTTTGTTGTCCCTTTTAATTTCAACATTTGATTGACCAATACTTGATTTAAAAGTTTACTGACAATTGTTGGGTGTTAAGTGGGCAAGTTTTATTAAACAAATTATTTTATTTTAGATTTTGTTTGGTGTGAGAGATAAATAATATTTTTACCGTTTTATAAAGAATGATCTAGTTTGACTTGACATAGAATTTAACAAAATAAAGAAGATTTTTTATCATGTGGTCATAAATTAAAGTTATATATAAATTTGTCCTTTAATCTTGTGGTCTTAAATATACCACGTGAAAATTATTACAAAAAAAAAAGAAGAGATCACTCTTTTTAAACAAACTAAATAGAAAAGGAGTTCATTCTTTTTAAAACGGAGAGAGTAGCTAATTGTAAAAAAAATCATATTTAATTGAGACAGAATTGTGAAATATCTTACTTTGAAATTAATCACCATGATTTTTATAGTATTATTTTTAAGAAAACTTACATAAATATATTATATTTTAAAAATATTTATGATTTATATTAATAACAGTTTTTTTACTTGATCACTTTTAATATATTTATAATACAGTTTTAATGCATATTACATAATTTATTTTTAATATATATTGTAGATTTAACATAATATTACTATGCAGTGTTATAAATTGTAATAAATGAAAAATATAGCTAAAATTAGTAATTTATTTATTAAAAGGTACTCATCCGAGTGAGTTTTCCTTTTTAATCTAATATTGCGGATAAAGTAATAATTTCAAAATAACTTATTAGCCGAGCCATCATGACTTATGAGTACTAAATAACGACTTTTTCTGCATACCAAAAAAAAACAACGGTATTAAATAGATTGTTTATAGATCAATCTGTGTTGAATTATTTAAATAACAAACGCTTTTCAATTTTAACTAATGAAGCAAAAAGGTGAAAAAACTGAATAGACAATTAGACATATAAATGTATGTATGTATACATACAACTCACTCTGCAGCATTTACTCGATTAATTTAAATTTACGTCAAATAAATTTGCATACCTACATTCAACTCTTTGAGATAAATAATAAATCACTAATTTTTTGATTTTTTTTTCTTTTCCCCACTTTTGGCAATAATTGAACCATCATGTGATGTAGCCAACAAATATCATATACAGCATGGATAAGTATTTCATTTCAACTGTTCATTTTTTTTGGATTTTTTTTTCTTCAACAACCTTTTCTTCTTTATCATTAAATGAAACACTTAATTACTGTCTCTTATCAAACAGAATTTGTAACATTATTTTTGCAATATTCATTACCTGTAAATTAATCCATGTCAAAAATGTTCTACTTCTTCATTAGGAAACAAAAAAAAGTTTTTTCCACCGATCTTTATTTTTGATATATTTTTATTTGGAGATTGATTCAGAGCTTTTATTATAAATTAAAAAATATATAATATATAATCTAAAATTGATATCACAAGTCATGACTTAAAACTAATGAATAATTAAAATGTCCAAAAGGGATGAAACATGTGAAGCCTACTTCTTTTGACTTTTACAATTCACAAATCACAAGATAAGTTCTAACATAACAAGAGCGGATTAAAAGAAAGAATCGATAGACTTTTAAGTTAACAAGCTTTTAAAAAAAGACATACAATATTTTTCACGATTTTTTATATTAAAATAAAAAAATTTATAAGATGTAATGTAAATTCACATGATGTAGTGTACGTTTTTGGTTAACAATGATAATGACTTAACAGACAAATCTGTGAGGTCTGTTAAGTCAAATCCTATCTTATGCGCTTTGATCATGACATAAACCACATAGTTTAGGACAAAGACTAAGTAATTACTAGAATTTGATTATAAGAAGTTTCCTATGAACTTTTGATTAAGAAAATAGACGTAATTAAACCATTCGAAATTAGTCTAATTTCTATCTTATGTCTCTGATATGTATGAATTGTTGGCATTTGATGTGTATATTAATCAGTAGAATGTATTAGATATAGTTGTAAAGAAGTATAGTGACGTATTAAAATTATGTTTATAATAAGTAGCATCAAAGAGTAGGTAAATTATCTAATTAAATCAGATTTGGGAATATAAAAACATGTCTTTAAAAAAAATAAAAAAAATATATGAATAGATTTTTGGGCCAAATATACCAGATCCGACTGACAGCCCAGCCCATGTATCAGCCCAATTAGCGAAGCCACGAGGTGATAAAAACAGACCGGCCCAATTCTCAAGTTCGATTACGTGGTGTAACTAATTACGGAAAACTTACATAAATATACTACGATAAAAGAATATATATCATTTATAGGAATTTTTTTTTTCTCTTGATTACTTTTAATTTATTTATAATACAAGTTTAATACATATTACAAAGAACAATTTATTATTCACACATAATACAAATTTTAATGATGAATAGTATATTTATCACACATTTTAATACTTTTTATAATACAATGTGACAATTTTTTACCAAACAAACATGATATATTTCAAAAAACAATCATAATTCATATATATTACATACATAATTCGCTTTTAATATATATTACAGATTTAACAAGGCATTGCTATAAATGGTAATAAACAAAAAATATCGCTAAGATCAATAATTATTTTTTAAAATGTATTAATTTAGTAATTTTCCACTGATTTAATATGTATTATGTATTTAATAAAAAAATCGTGCTTAATAACTAATATTTAAATAATATTAAATGTTATAGCTATTTTTTTTGGAAAATTATGATTCGTAGTTATTGTTTTCTTAATTTTTTCTTATTTAATTTGTGTAATTCACTCAAAATTGTATAATTCAGATAATATAAATCACAATCTTTTATATTCTTATCCTAACTATTTAAATATGTTTATTGAAAAATTATAATAAACTATCCTATTTTTATGGCAAGAGAAATATATAAATGAAATTTTAAAATATTTCTAAATGTATAAATAGTATATACTTATTCTATTTTTATATTAGCATATATAGACCACGTGAAATATGTAAATCAGAGCCTGCATAGTATATAAACTATAACTATGAATCACAATTATCGAAACTATAGCATACACTATATAAATTTTGTAGTATCAGATAGTATTTGCAATTGATAAAGGGGAAAGAGTATGATATATATGAAAGTGGTTTATATATATCTTTACTGTTATACAAATGACTCGCATATACTCTTTTCCTCTAACAAAAATGGAAATATTAATTTTAATTTTATCTTTTAATTATTTTTTGAAAAAAATATAATTCATATGGGTATATTTGATCCTCCTCACACATATTATTTTTGATTTTTTTTTGTTTTAATGACTAATTTAAAATTATTATTTTGATGATTAAATTTATTTATATTTTACTATTTTTTTATAAATTTTTTTATAGATTCCCCATAATTTATTTTTATTTTTATAAATACAAAAACTAAATTATAATATAGCCGTA